CCCCCCCAAAAAAAAAATCTATTTCATTGGAAGGATTAAACAGAACAGCAGTCCTTTTCTCAAGCTGCTTAGTTCTTTCATAGCAAATAAGGAGAGACTTGAGTGTGAATATGGACTTTTGTAATGCATATAAAGGGCCAGATTGTGGCTATTAAGCCATAGCCTGCACTGGAGGGGGTGAAGAAGGGTCTCACTGCAATGGAAGCTCCTGAAGGAAATCTTGCTGACTCAGCCAGAATCCTCTGAGGAACTTCCTGGGAACGAATGTTGGCTGTACAGAAAAAAACACTTTTTAGAGGATACAACAGATGCCATCCATCCGCTATCCTAGGTGTCTCTGCAAAGCAGATCAGATCTATGGCAACAGTTATTTTACCACCTCTATCCTCTGTACTGTGTGTGTTGGAGTACAAACAGAATGGCTGCCTGGCAGAATGAAGTAAAGTTCCTTGCATCCTTCCCCTGTCTATGTATCATCTTGAATGCTAGAGGCAGTGCAGCTCAGTCTGGCAGAACCAAGTGCAGGTCTCCCCTACATCATACCCTGAACTTTTCCTGGAAATTGACATTTTTTACTGAGCAATTTACAAGAAGGGCCTTCTAAATTTAGGAGGAAATGATGGGACCATCTAGGAAAGGGCTGTAAGGAAGAAGAGGGAAATCTCATTCATCTAGGAAAGTTCTTGTCTTGCTCAGAGACAAGGTTTTGCTTTGCCCCCACATACGGTCTAGAAATTCCTGACTGTCATCACAGCCACCCACTCAATGGCTTCAGCCTGGAGCACAGTTGGATATTGCTTCACTTACATGTGCCTGTGTCCATTTGTATAAATTTAGGGACAAATGACCTGAAATCCCAGGCTTGATCTGTTGTTGTCTTCTTTAAATAAATGTGATTTTATGTTTTTATATTTTATGATTTTATCCTAATTAAAAAAAAAAAAAAAAAAAAAAAGATTTATAAGAATCAATACAGTGCAATACAGAGACTTTCATTCTCTATGGTGTTACATTTTTCTGGAAGGGTTTTCAGAAGCTTTCCTTCATGTCTACAGACCAAAACATGTTCAGCAACTCTGCATAATAGTGAGGTGTAAATAATTGACCCATAGTGTTCACATGTTCACAATTCTTATAGAAGATACAGAATATATGTTCTGATGTAGTGATTTCTCTTCTAAGTTTGACACAGGTGATCAGAAAGTTTGCAAAGCAACTGGATGAGTGGCTAAAAGTAGCTCTCCATGACTTGCCAGAAAACCTACGAAATATAAAATTTGAATGTAAGTATTGTCAAATCTCTCCTATTAATCTGGGAAATATGTAATGTTAATGTTTACAAATTCATTGGAGGTGAACCTTGAGTTCTTTTAAGAATTAAATACTGACAGTATTGTTAATCTTGCATTCATTTCCAAGCTCCACTTGCTCATGAGAACCAATTTCATTTAGTGAAATGAGGCACTGCTAGAAGTGAGAAAAATTACTTTTCCTTTCTTGTGAGTTCTGATAAGAAATTAATTTTGTTGATAGTAAGCAAACATTAGGGATGATCTTAGGCAAAGAAAATTATTAAACAAACCTTTAGGGTAGCACAATTTGAATACAGCTTGAGGCCCTTGCTCAAAAAAGTGCCAGAGTTAAAAATGAAGGAGATCAAATTACCCTGTCGCCACAGGAAAGGGCACTAGCCCTATTCAGACATGCTTTGTAGATGCCTGCAGTGCACATCACCTATTGATAAAGCCTGCTTTATTTCACGGCTCTCAATTCTTTGCCTTTCATGAGCACTAAATTCCACACCACAAAGTTAAAGGGGAAAAAAAAAAAAAACTAATTTAGGAGAAGGATTAACTATTTTGATCAGCACGGAAAATTAGAAGTATATTTTACAGAGAACACTCTAGGATGTGAGTTAGAATAACTCATTTTAGGTTTTTGTGTGTTGTTTATAATTCATTTTAAAAGTTACAGAAAGTCAGAGCTGAGAACATGCTTTATCACATCTCTCTCTGTTCAAAAATATCAAGGATCTGCAAGAATTTTTCAATTCTGCCCGGAGAGAGAAAGAGACAGACGATGCACTTTCTACTCATTCTTGAACAATGCTTTTTAAATGCATTAGTATACAGCACAGAGGAAACTCCTACTCTATGACTACATCTAAGGCCTGTTTGGATAGCTCTGCAGGTTTTCTGTGATTTTATAAGAAAAAAAATTGAGTCCATCCTAGCACATACATTCTAGCCTGTTATTTCTGCAATTTTTTCCTCCTAATCCAAAGTTATGATCAAAGGAATTACTGAATGGAGAAACTGCAAGTCTTGGTTGTATTTGCAGTTCTTAAGTCATATAATTCAGACAAAATATGGTCAATAAAACATTTTAAAATTCCAGTTTCTGAGTACAAGAAGTATCTTAATACAAGATCCAAATCCTCTTGGAAAGAGATAAAGAGAGACAGCAGGTACCTCCTAGGCCCTCTTATGCCATAGCATGTTAGTATGTCATGTAATCACTTTTAGAAACTTTAATCAAATTTTACCTGAAAGTGTTTCATATTTTAGCTCCTTCCTTAGTCCAGTCTGAAGGCTCCTCCAAAACCTGTTTGCATTAAGACTTAGGAAACTTTTCTAATTTCCTGATAAAATGTTGCTGTCATTATGTTTTGCCCACTTGTTCTCGCATCAACATTTTTCTTCCTCTTAAATAGTTCTGTCTTTATGGTTTTCAGCTCTTTTGTGTATCAAGAGAAAATTTGCTATGCCAAACAAGCAAAGCTCTTCCATTGTCCTCTACGTCTCTCTTGTCCTCTCGTTATTCACAGCATCTATAAATCATCACTTGTAATATGCCCCTGTAAAATTGATTGAGTATCCAGATTTAAGGTTATAGGTCAAGGCTTAAACTAAGTTAAAACTGTGCTATTCATGCAAACAATATGTTGCCACAGTTGAATATAAAAAAATGGATATGTTTTTTCAGTGCTGATTTTAATTCAGAATTTCCAGAAATAAAGGATTCTGTTTATGTAGCACAGTATGTAAGTATATATCTCCTCTCTCCTACAGTGTCCAGAAGATTCTCACAAATACTCCGGCGACAGACGTCACTAAATCATCTCTGCCAAGTAAATATTTCAGTTACCTGAATTTGCAAAATGCCATTTTTTACTGGCTTGTAAAATAATTCATTAAATTGACAAGCTGGACTTTACTCAAAGAGGAAGAGATCATGTTAGCAGTTTCTTTCCAACATTTACTATGACCATCTTTACAAAATCAAGAACTAATCAACAAAAATACTTTGCTAGAGAGCTGGAAGCCACTGATCATTAAATTAAGCAGAAAAGTTTTCTGAAACAAATTTAGGATATGATTTGAAGAGTTATTTCATTACCATGAAGTAAGCAAGAGAGGATCCACTGGTTTCAGTGAGGCCTGAATCAGGACTATTACAGAGACAGAAAAATTTATATATGTCTGACAAAAACTTCCAAGTTTAATTGCATATTGTAAATAAAAAGTAAATTAGTAAAAAAACAAAAGGGTTGAACCCTTTGTTTTTGGTTTTAAATGAAAATATTTTTACACATCCCCCCACATCAAGGGAATGTAAGAAAATCACCCTGAAGTCTTTGCTTTCACCAGCTACGTTAGGTGATAATTACCTATCAAAAATTAATGAGGTCATACTCTATGTAGTACCAAATAGGGCAGGATGCACTGACTTAATTGAGATTTCACATATATATTGAAGCAGATAGTTTGCTTTCCTTATTAGTTTTAAAGTTTTACATTTGAAAGGTATATCCAGCACCCCAAGGTAAGCCTGAGAGTCAGGAAGCCTACAGGAAGAAACCTGGGGGGGGGGCAAATGCTTCTGGAAGGGCACCTTTGTAGATTTCTTCCCTCCATTATTTCAGTGGTGGAGATAAAAATGCTAGTTCTACCTTTCCCACAGTGGAATGTCACTGAGCTTTGGAGGTTTGTAGAGGTTCAGAGGAAATCAGTATACAGAGACCACAACCTTCTGCATCAGGCTTGGGATCCAACAGTCTCCTGACATTGAAGGATTATTTAAATGTATAATTTCCTTGGGGAATCTGGTAACCTCAGTGTGGGCTATCATCTTTGTTTCACTTACAGCGATCTGATGTGTGTCTTGTTAGGTTGAAATTTTGTCACTTCCTTTTCTATCACCCTATTCTTGCCATTATCACCAGCAGAACCCTGCGTCAACCAGCCATGAGGCAGATATTATAGAGAGACAAATGATCTTCAGCTTTTTCTTGTGGCTGAGGGAAGAATGGGAGCCTTCATAGTGTGGGAGAGGGTGGTTTGCAAACCCTTGTAAGGTTCCTTTGGTTTTGGCTTCATTTTTGCTGTTGCTTTTGATTTTGACCTCAAGCAAACTGAAAAACCAATGGAGCTGTTTTAATTTGGAGAGTCCAGATTTTGGGGTTTGTGGTGAGTGAGAGCAAAATATTTGCTGTTAATTGAACAAGGCAAACTGATTTCAAAGTTCACTGTGGTAAGAGGGCCCTGTAACTTCCATAAGATATCAGTTTGGTTGGGTAGGATTGAATGAGAAGAATCAATTTAGTGAGTCTAGCTAAGGAAGCGGAAAAGGGGATAAAGGTTATTTTTTAACCAAATAAACCATGAACTAATGAATAGATTGGATTGGATTACAGGCATCAAGAACGGTGATCCACAGTGCAGACATCACTTTTCAAATGCTAGAGGACTGGAGGAACGTGGATCTGAATAGCATTACCAAACAAACCCTCTATACTATGGAGGACTCACGGGAGGAGCACAGAAAACTCATCATACAATGTAAGAGATGAACCCTCAAATAAAGCCAGGTGAACCTTGGTTTCTTGTTGGAAAAAAAACCCTCAGTGAAAATAATGTTTTTGCAGCTATTCATTTGCTTAAGATAAATAAGGAGACATTTCTCAAAATGGCAGGCAAATCTTTTTATTAAGGTCTTATATTTTAAGGCATAGATCTGGGCACTCCTTCATTACAGACTTTCTTTCTAGTATCTACAACAGCCAGTGGCACAGAACATGCACCAAATTGAGGGGGAGTTTTCTTTTTTTTTTGCCATGGACATGAGCATTAGCCATTGCAGCTAATGAGGTCAGTTTACGCTGCTGTAACATTGCAGGGGAATTGTCTTTTGAATGCTTTTGCCCCCAAATGGCTGTGTATTTGAGTCCCTTGTAAATTTTATTCGTAAATAGCTCCATTTTACATGGTATTTTCTTAAACAAAGGAATTTGATGGGATGAAGCTTTTACCCTGAGCTTTTATGAATAAATAAATGTACTGTATTAAGCAAGTTAATTGACTAATTTAGATTCTTTGTAGTGTAGAGAAAGGCACAAACTGAAAAGTGACTTTTCAGTCTTTTTTTGGAGATGCTGGCAAATTGGTTTCATAGTTGAAGATCTTATTTTGCATTTATAAAATTTGACTTGTCTTGTCAAGCAAATGTGACTGTAAGCTTAGGTTTAACCCTGAGCACACTGAGTTTGTTCCTCCAAGGCACTGGTATTGACTAGCTTTGTCTTTAGTGTCATTTGTAACTTTGGTTCCCTTCAAACCCATCTGTTGTATTGATCTGACTCCTTAGGATCAGTCATGTCACATCCAGGACCAGCTTTAATGGGGATCCACATGGGTACTATTTGTGGGAGCCCTGCATGGGTACATTTGCTAGTGGGGTGATTCTTCCAGTGTGTGGCTAGAAAGAGGAAGGGTGATACATTCACATGTACACTGGGCCCTGCAAAATCGACAGTGGCTCTTCTCTCATACCCATCTTGTCTCACTGTGGTAACACTATGGTAAAAGTCTTCTCTCCTTTTTAGCAATGGGTCTTACATCCTCTGCTACCTTTTCAATGAGATGTGCTTTGTACTCTTACCTGTCCTTCTTAACCCTTGATTCACCTCCTTACATGGTGCTCTTCCATTCTTAAGGGTCTGAAACTCGATATAGCAACAGGGGAAGTAGAGAATAGTGAGACTGGAGTATAGAAGCTTGCTACATTTTTCTGCCATCTGTTATGTATCTACCCAGCATTCACCCACTGACCAAAAAGTAATGAATTCTCAAAGTTGTAATCCCTAGGAGCAGCAATTGTTTTGGCTCTCATTCAGAAAATTCTCACTGTTTAGGAAATGTTTTTATATGTGTGCTGAATATTTAAATACAAACTTAAGTATCATCAAATCAAATGGAATTTTCTTGAATGCAGATGGATTTGAACATACTTTTTCGATATTCTAAGTCCATATATTTCAATAAGCAAAAATATATTTCAGTAAGCAAAAACAGAAGCTCACAGACATGGTAATCCAATATACACATTCAACATGTGGTGGGATTCCACAGGGATGTCAAATATGTAGAAAGCTTATTCTAAATCTTAGAACTTTTTCCCTCATTGTTGATGTATGTTCTACTTGGCCAAAGAGCATCTCAAAGGTTACACTTTCTGTGACTCGTCACATGCAGTAAGGCCTGCTTTTGCGTTCTTGGCATTAAGAACCAAGGAAGCACAATTTTCAGCTACTATCTCTCAGGGAAAAAAAATAATAATAACAAAAAAAGTTCATAAGTCTATAAGTAAAGTTAGAGAGAAACACTAAAATCATTGGGTAGATGAGAAGCTGTTTCTTGCTCAGGTACAGTTGCTGCCTTTGACCTTCTTTATTCCCATTGTTCTCAGATCCTGAATTTTTAACAGACATTAAAGGCTAAGTAATTACTTTTCTCAAATAGCTCATGGTACATGCTTGCAATGCTCCACAGTTGCAATGCTCCTGCATTGCCAAAGCAGGCAACTGATTTGTTTTTCTACTGTTGCTCCCCTCTTTGCACAGCATGTGAATTATTGATCTATTGGCAGTTTCTGTCCAGCCAAATACTCAGATAAGAAGACAACATTTGGATTTCTCTGAGATCTTATCCTGAATAAAGAGAGGCTGCCCATTCAGTAAAACAACAAAACAAGATAAAGGCAGCCCAAACATCATTCTTTCCCTTCTTCTATGACCAAAGTTTCTGACCATCCAGCCTTTGCAAGTGTAAGTTAAACAAAGTTTTAATCAGGTGCAGTGCAAAAGCTTTCCTGCTGATCTTGCTGATTCATCATGGGATGCTATTGCTCCATTTAGACCAGTGAGCTCTTTGCTTTAATCTCAGACAGTCTCTCTGGCTCACTTCTCCAGCTATCACCTCTAAACTTCGTCTCCTCCACCTCCCCCACTATCTGCTTCCTATGGTGGGAAATTCTTCCCCCTTGCTATTTGCAATTAAGCATAAATGGAAATGCATAGCACATTGAGATCATCCTGTGACACAGCAGGTAGAAAGTATCTTTCTTCTTGATTTACTGGGCCTTTTATTTTAGCTGGGTTGAAGAACAGTTTCTTAAGGTGTCAGAGCTCATGATTCTTTGCCTTTTAGTCATTGATTCTCATTAATAAACTGGAGACTTGCAGTTTTAAGAGCTGCAGTTACTTGATTGTTTTTTTTACTTTCTGTACTAAAGTATGAATTCATTAACTTGGGAAAGGTTAAAAAGTATTTGTGTTGCTTTTTGAAACTCTTCTTCATAGCATTTGTACATTGGTAGCAATTTGTTTTGAAGAAGTAGAAGTTTATGGAACTTCTTTGTGTGCGTCTGGCATTGCAAATAGATGATTTGCAGCAGTTAAATAATGTTTTTGCAACTAAAGCATTATACAGATGAGAGCACTATCAACAATACTCATCTACTTGATGCTTAAAGATTCTTTACGCGTTTCTAAATCAATTTCATGCATGACCTTTTTTCATCACCAGGGTCAAGGCCTAGCTTCACACTCTTCGTAGCAAACACCATAAATGTTTCATTTCCGGGCACCACAGACAGCCGAAGGTTAAATCAAAAGGAGAACTTTAAATAATAGGTCCTGATTTGCTCACACCTAAATGCCACTTCCAACGACTCTATCATTTTCAGAAGAAGCAAGATGGAGACCAGGAAAAATTACTGTGTCAGCACCAAGGAAGTTATATTTGTTATGGCTGAGCAATCTATTATAAAAAAAAAAAACAAACATAGCAAGTCGGTCATGTTATTGGCAGCTTTTTCTATTTTGTTTCTATTTTGCTCTAAATGGAATTCAAGCACTGAAGTGGGTTGGTTTTTTTTGCTTTGTCTGCCAGTGTATCAGGAGTTTGATCACCTTCTGGAGGAGCAGTCCCCCATTGAGTCATACATTGAGTGGCTGGATTCCATGGTGGACAGATGTGTTGTAAAGGTTGGTAAGGAATAAGGACTTGAGTCACCTATGTGCTTTTTGAGCTCTGTTCAGGTCATAGATCATTAGCAAAAACAGAAAAAGAGAAAGTGAAGCGGTGTAGTAAGCAGAAGCAAAGCAGCGGTGGATAAAACGTCACCACTTTTCACGCACGGCATGAGAACTGCTCACATTCAGAATACTGCTTCACTCTGCTCTTGGGTGCCCAACTCAAAAAATATTCAAGAATGGAACAGGGCTAACATTTTCAGTCAAAATCAATATTTCAAAAGTATGGAGAGATGAGTTCAGAGTTGTTCTATGCAGTGCAAATGAAAATGTAATCTGGTTTGTCCTTTTAAGATTTTAATAAGAGAGATTTAGGCAAGCTAATACGTTTATATGCACTCAAATGTAAAGAGGAATGTCTGTGTTACAAAGTTATACTGTTTTTTCAGTTGATTTGAGATAACAAGGGCTTGCACTTTATTTTGACTGGATGCAAAAATATACTAAAAAATCTTTAAAGAATATTTTCAAAAGTGATCATGCATCATCATTATGTTGAGTATGTAACTATATTATGAACAAACTAACTTCTGTCATCAACTGTGTTTTGTATTAGGATATTCTTTTGCAATTTCAACTCTTCATTCCAGATTTCATTTTTAGAGATAGTAAGTAAAAATACATGTGTAATATGCTGCCTTTCTCTCTGCTGAAAAAAAAAAAAAAAAATTGATACAAAAAACCTACAGGCACTTCCCCACATTACATGAAATATTTTGATTGCTTTGAGATACTCTTCTTGGATTATTAAAATGCAATTTTAAATGCAGATCATGGTTTTCATGAAGAACTTCAAGAAGGAGTTTCATTAGGTAACAGAATGAACCTAATTTGTTAACCAACATATGACCCTGTCAAATAAGTCTCATGGAGTTGATGCCTGAAGTGTTCTTTCTGGGGAGTATTTTTGCTAGTAAAATGTCTATTCATTCACAACAATAAAAACATGAAGGAACAAAAACTCTAATTGAAGTACTAATATACATTTTCAGCATAGATCAAGCACTCTTGATTACACATTGTTTCCTTGTCTAGGAATGGTCATGTAAGTGATCAGGTTAAAATGAAGACTGGGGCTTTTTGGGGCAGTTCTTTTCTCATTTATAAAGGAAAGTCACTCTTAGAGTTGAGTGGTACTTCTGCTTTACTCTTTCCAGTGTTTGTATATAGTTGCAAGTTGGCTTTCTGTGTATTTTGTTTGTTTGTTTGTTTTGAATTTTTAGTGTTTATTTTAACGTGAGATTAATGGTAAGTAGTTTTTCAGTTTTAAAAATGGAAGCTAGATACATACATTATTCATCTGTATCAGATGGTGGAAATGAAATTTTCTCCATGTTAGATGGATCTGTTTTCTTGCAGGTAGCTGCCAAGAGACCAGGCTCTTTGAAGAAAGTAGCTCAGCAGTTCCTCCTGATGTGGTCCTGTTTTGGCACTCGAGTGATTCGGGACATGACTTTGCACAGTGCACCCAGCTTTGGTACTTTCATTTTGTTGTATTAATTGCATGACACAGACGAAAAAAGACTACACGGCTGGTAGTTTTCATGTGTCCAGGGCTCTTCTACAAAAAAAAAAAAAGTCAAGGCTGCTAACTCATATGGATGTTTTCCTTCAAGATCTAACCAGAGGAGTGGAAAACATTATTATTTCTTTTAGTTGTAGCCAGAGTTATCAGTCATAGGTCAGCTGGAGGAGTCAATCATTGGAGCATTCCCTAATGCACTTCTGTGCAGTCAGCCAGGTTACCTAAACTGCTGTGACCACGTTATGCTAAGACAAGTGATTTCATGCCCAAGCAGACAAAAAGCTTGCCATTTTTGAGCCATTTTGCTAGCTTTGCTTTTAAAGGACATAGCTTTTTAATGTAGACTTTGCAGAGTGGACCTATTTCTGTGTCCTATACAGATTGCCTTTCATTCTACCAGAACTCAATCAGGATAGAAAGGTGATTTCTATCTACTAAACAACATGTTGTTTAGTGGTGAAAATGCATGTTGTTTTTCCACATGGTTTCAAAAGGAGATTTGCTTTGATCTTGGGATAGAAACAGCATCAGTTATAAAATCAGTTTAAGATCAGTGATTGAAAATGGATTGTTGTGTTATGATTGTGAACATTTGCAGTTATTTGCAACTAGAGTTTGAATTAGGGATGTTTTTTTTTAATGTATATATTTGCCAGGATGTATTCAGAGAAGATTAATATGAGTGAACTTATAAAGGCAGTGTATTGAACAACTGCAAAGTTTTCTGCTACCTGTGTTTTAAGTATTTTCTGCCATTAGATGACATTCAGATACCATCAGAAATAGGAACTCAGAGTAGAATTTATAATTTAATATGAAACTTCTTTCACCAGCTTTTCCCTTGTAAAGGATTTTTCCAGCAGCTATTAGTGAGTCACTATTAGACGTCAGGTTAGTGAGCATTCCCAAGACGATCACAGTTTCCATCTGCTAGATTCTGTTTTCAGCACCAGTATCCTGATCATATCTATTTTGAACCTCCTCTAGGACTCATTTCCTCCTTGAGTTACTGCAGCTTTTCTTTTGTTGTGGGCATAAAAGAGCTGATACTGCTTAACACGGTATACATTCCCACAATGTTCAAAAATCCCTTTGTATGAAGGAATGCTGAATTTTGTGCCCCAGCACTTTGTGTTGCCACACATCTCTCTGTGGACATAAACCCAAACCTGTGAAATACACCAGCAGCCAGCAAATGAAGAAAACACCTTATGTTGGTTGTCTGTTGTTGTCTGGAAGTGATTCTCAGCTGTGATTAGTAATAGAAACATTTATGAACTTGCTGTGTTTCAAGAAAATGTGAAGATTGACAATTATTCACTTGTTTGAGTTTGGAACCCATGACACTATAACAGTTGTTATATCTGCCAAAGTTGTTAGATCTGCCAAAATAACTTACCTGCTCTCTCTCTTATAAATTTGGGTCTTGAATTTCTCATTTATGAGAACTTTAACTGCTCAGTCTTATCATTTTTTTGTCTTTATAACTCAGTGTGTGTAACTGCATACAAACTCATGATACTCTTTATATGGATGCACATCTTCAAACACGAATTTGATATTTTATATGTAGCTACAGTCAGGAAAAAAAAAGTCATAATTGATGTGTTTTTCATGGGTGGTCTGTGTTATGTGGTGCTGAGGGGCATGGTCAGTGGGCACAGTGGTGATGGATCGATGGTTGGACTAGATGATTTTAGTGGCCTTTTCCAACCTTGATGATTCTGTGATTCTATAATTTTATAATTAGAACTAGAACAGTAACAGCTTTTAATTTGGTAGCAAAAACAGGATTTAAAAAAAATCATTAATTCTTTTGCATCTGCCATCTTTCACTGCTTAGGCCAGTTACCTGCCTCAGCAGAGTTAGATTTCTAGCCAAAGGACCAGAGGAGTTGCCCACTGGAAGGATTTTCTCATCTTTTCTGTTGAAATTGTTTTACTTACATACAAGCCACTTAAAAATTTGTTGAACCACAGTGGTCTGCAGCCTGCTAGGTGGAGTTTTCTTCTGGGAGTGAGATGGCAAGCATTGGCCCAGTCCCAGTTCTAACCCTTATTTGAAGTGGGACCTGCTCAGATCCAGCTCCAGTGGAGGAAGGAGGAGCTCTGAGCCTTTGGGTTTTCAGGGAGGAAACCAGACCTAAATCATACCCTCATCCCATCAGGGAACAGCCTGGGCTATTCCTACCTTATTACTTCAAAAATGAACCAAACGTTATTTAGCTGCAGACACAAAATTATAATTTCTACTAATGTTGTTAAACTTTCACAGCAATGCCATTTGACACATTGTTTGTGGCTTAGAGACAAGCAAATTCCAAGAGGAAAAAAAAACACCTGAATGTAATCAGATGAAAGCTAGAAGTCAGTAACTCTTCTGTGCTTAATAAAGGTCCTTCTAGCCTTTCACAATAGCATATATGCATTTAGGTGAGTTCTGTGGAGAGAAACAGTAGACACTGGCACTCTTAAAGATTTATATTTGTATACCTTTGCTCTTAACTTAGATAAAAAGTTTTGCATTTTTATGTTATTGTAAATTTACTATATTTACTATTTTGCTACATAAGTTTCAGTGGACTAATTTTTGCTGATTTTTTCCACTCAGATGCTCATGGTGTTATTCAGATAAAAAAGAGGGAGGTTGTAAAATCAAGTGTTAGGTGCTGAGATCTTTATATAGGCAGGACACTATATTTCTGTCTGTGAAATAGATTATATGGAAATTTGATTAGAGAAAGTTGCAGTGTCTGGCACCGGACTGGGCAGCAGAGAGATTTGATTCCGCAAAGCTTTTACATGTGGTGACATGGGCAGGTTGAAACAATCCTTGCCAAGATAAAGCTCCTATCTTTCCCTCTCCCTTTTTCTCCCTCCCAGCCTCCCTCCCTCCTTCCTGTCTATGCATATCAAAGGCACAGTTGGTGGTGATGTTTGGGTAATGCATCCAGTGTATTAACATAACTAATTAGTAATAGAAGCTCCATGTGCCATGATTTTTTCCAAATCTTGACATCTCACTGTTGGTTTGTTGGGTTTTTTTTGCTACTTACACATAATTGCCATATCTGTTAATGGCAGATGATATTTACTGTATGTTAGCTGAGTAATCATTGCCATGATTTCAGTTAATTCAATCTGAAAATTACAGCCAAACACCATTTATTATTATAATTGCAGTCTCTTGAATAACATCTTCCCTCTTCCTAAAGCAGTGTAAGGTTTACCAGCCACAGGATCCTTTTCACTGCTTAAAGATAAACTTGAAAGAGCTAAACAGTTTAATGTGAAAAACAGTAGCTTGCAAACACAGAATAAATTACTGTACATTGTGCTGAATAGCTATTCACTGTGTTGCTGAAATACATGCCCTGATACTGGTTTCAGTCTGTAGCTTACATTACTTTTGAATCATTTGAAAATGTAAAAATATTGCATTCATTCAGTATCAACAACTTGTTTGTCTGGTGTCTTTCACGCAAATTCTGGGCTCAAAAACTCTATACAGAGTTTAAAAATACACAGTGGGAGAAATAATAGGGGAGGAAGAGAGAAATTCAAAAGAATGACAAGGGTGCTGGGATGTTTTTTAATGCTGTATTCAGTATTGCCAACCCCAAGTCTTCAAAACAGAGCATTAGACCCCCCAAAAACAAAGACTATTTTTTTAAATAGCAAATCTTGCATTCTTGTCATTTGCCTGCTAGCATTTGAGTGCTTAGGGTTCACACTTGCAGACGTTTTTATGAAACTATAAGCAACTTTCTTTTGATTTCTCATTTAAATGAAAGCAAGCCAAGAGTTTGGTGACAAACACCAAGTACCCTGAGCCTTTTGCCACCACATGAGGTTTGGCAGCACTGAGGCCTGATTTTCTTACCTTGGAAAATCTCACGAGCAAGAACTGCGCTGAAATCAGTAAAACTTGGATCTTCTTAATAATCTGGTTTTCCACTGGAGGAGCTCTGGATCAGTAACAAGGTGATCAATCAGGTCCACTGTCTTCATAATACTGCTATGTTACAAAGGGTTTTATTCAACAAGACTTTTAATTCAAAAGATCTCTAAAACAGAACTTCTGAAAGTAATTAGGTGAGGATCTCCAGTATTTATCCTTGCAAGGCTGGGGAAACGTGCTACCATTTTGACTTGCATAGATGTGGAAACAAAAAACTGAATGCTTCAGGTTCAAGAAGAGCCAAAGATTTCCTTCTCTAGCAAAGGTGTTGCAATCATGTATGCCTTTTTTCTCTGCTTGTAGAAGAGAACACAAAGGCTCACGTTCTCCTCCCTGTGTGTGCATTCTGCTTGTATCAGTGATGGCAGAAGCCATGCAGGCATGGAGTAAGAGAAAGAAACACAAAGACCATCAGGTCACAAAGGAGAAGAATGTGCTCAGAGTTGCTTTGAAAGGTGAATTGCCAGCTAGAATTGTATAAGGATATAGGACCTTTCAAACCACTTTGTCTGCCTTCAACAGTATATTTCAGTGCAGAAGCTCGACTAGAGGTACTTATGCTTCATCATGATAAAATCTAAAGATAAAGCTAACTTTCCAAAGAACAAATCAATCATTATGATACTTAATTGAATTTGAAATTTGTTGCATCTTTTTTTTCCCGTGGAAATGTTTTCCTCAATGTGCGTTAATGGAATTTCAAAAAGAACACATCTGGATGATCAGGTGCTTTTTTTTTTTGACTGGCAGTAACCAATCTGTTTCTCAGCTCGTGATTTTTCTCCGGTTTAAATCACAGGCTGCTGGAACAGCTGCTAATTTAAGCTGGCTGCATTTGCATGTGTTAGAGTTATCTGACCACTAACATGAGCATGTTTTAAAGTCTAAATAAAGTCTAAATAAACCTAAGAGCTTTTCAAAAAAGCACTGTGTGATCAAGCCCTGTCTGCAGCTATTACAGGTGTTGTATCCTGTGGAGTCTACGGCATAAACTGACCAAACCCCATCTTGATACTTGTCAGTCTTCCTCTCAAAATGAATGTGATTCCTTTCAGGAGGAAAATACACAGCGTCCCAACTCTCATGCTTCTTTAATTTTCTGTTGAAATGCATCTATGGTCTCTTCTAACACATCTATTTTTGTGGCTATGTATGCTCTGGGGTGGATGTTTCTTCACCACCCCTGACAACTGTTTTTCTTTATACATTATGGAAAGTAATTCCCTTCCTTTCTGTAAAATGAAGCCAGACAAGCATTTTTAGTAATTTAAAATCTGTTGTCCATTTCCCACATCCTCCTGGTAATCTCCGTACCAGTTTAAGCTTGTACTGATTTTTCTTGAACATTAGTGACTAGAGTTTTATGTGCAGTATTCCAAGTGAGCTTTCACCAGTGCCTTGTGCAATAATATTAATACTTCCATTTCAACAGAGGCATGTAACTACGTTCATTGCCAACTGCATCAGAGATTTGTCAACTAATTTATCCTCAGCTCTGTCATTTGTAATTGAGGAACTTAAAGATTAAGGTTTTCTATAAATCCCTGAGGATAGAACTTCTTACAGCATGCTAAAAAAATTTTATTTCTATTACTCTAGTCCATAGTATCTCCCAGTAGTTCCTCCTAACATTAACAAGTTCTCCATCTGTACTCAGCTCTCACTTGAGGATTTGTGGCAGAGTGCTATCAACATAATTTCTTTTTACTATTAATTTTCAAGTCATTCTCTGACTCCATCCCAACATTTTGTTTTGTCTGTACTTATTTTTTTTAGTACCCTTTTTCACATTCCTGTCATGGCAGTTAAGAAAGAGTATCACAGAAGAGAGAGTAGCACAGAAAACAGGCCAAATTTCATACTGTCGATATGATTCAAACTGGTAATTAGGGAAAGATAATGTGGTAGGAGAAGTAAGAGGAAGCAAAGCTGAGGCAAAAGGCTTTCCTTTAAGATATGTAGAATTGCTGGTGATGTCTCTGGTCTCACAGATAACATGTGCCTCATCCAGCCCAGGCAATCCACTGGAGGTATACCACCAGGAGATCTGGAAGGCTGTTCCTACCTTTCTAGGGATTAGTCTCTCATTTCATTGTCCAATGACACAGATGCTTCGGTTTTGTTGGTGTTTTTTTTTTACCAGAACATCACTAATGCGGTCAATTTAGGAATATACTTCTGACAGAAATTTGTATCTGATAAAGTAGATAATTTCACTTGCAGTGTAACTGTCTAAACTGTTCAATTCTAATGCAGGAAAAGAAAACTCGATATCAAGTCCCAGACCTCAGGTAGGCAGCTTCTTTAACCACAACAGTTGGTCGTATATGCCTGTGTAAGTGCAGGAGTGGACAGTATGTTGGCCCCTAGATTTACTTTGACCTCTTTTACCTTGAGTAACCAGCATACTGCAGTGGCAGTGCTACATTGAGGCAGTTCTACTCAGTGCCTTTTGTGTTGAATCCCCTAATCACTGGTTTAATGAGTGTATTGAGACAGTCAATGGCTTTTCTGTTTGTTCATTTTATTACCAGGGTCTTTTCACCTTATTCACTTGATGTTTGATGACTACGTATTGTACCTGCTAGAATCACTCCATTGTCAAGAGAGAGCTAATGAGCTAATGAGGGCAATGAAAGGAGAAGGAAGCACAGGTGAGTTTGTTCTTTTATTCATTATTTGTTGTTTTACTCCACTAGATTCACTTTTTTCTTTATCCTCACCTAACCCTGTGAGTCCTATCTAGGAGTGAATGCAATGCTGTTTTTTGGTTCCATCATGATTTGAAATCTGTCATTTGTCAAGGGGGCCTCCTGGAGTTAATGCATTCTGAAAGAGACCTGCTTCATGGTCTGACTCTGGATGTCTGAAATACTATTCCTGAGCACAAACTGGGTTTTTCAAATAGAGAACCTTTTACCTCAGTTGATCCGTGTAAGCCACCTTTGCATTTCAGTCTTGATTCTCTCTCACCCTAGTTTCACACTAAATAAATTCATATCCCTCGGTTTGTACCAACCTAAATAAAAGGGAGAGACTGAAGAATTGAGCAAGTAAATTAAAAAAAAAAAAAAAAAAAAAAAGGCTAGAATTTCTGATGCACTTTAATTCTGATTGTCTGTACAGAAGCAAATTCCAAGTCCTGTTCTACTTTGCACTGACTTGCCAGAACAGAAGCAGAGACTTTCCTTAGTCTCTCTGCTCAGGGATGCTCCTGATCCACACCAATCTTCCTTCCTTGCATCTTCCATTAATTTTGGAAAGTTAAATCACTTTGTCACCATATCTTACCGGAATGAAGCCCTACATAGTTTATGCGCATATTTCTTACATGTGCATCAGAAAGAATAGCACTTTCCTATAAGAGATCTTATTAAAATAAACTCACATTGCTAATACTGAATCTTACTGAAGTGCTTCTTTCAAAGATTTATATGAGCCCTGCTATGGATTTCGTGAACTGTGCAAAGAACTTAACTGCTCCCATAGTTTTTTTTAGTTTCTCAGTGTCTCTTGACTTCACTTTTAATAATTTGTTCTATGATTTTTCTCTCACTCTGCAGCAGAAATACGAGAAGAAATTATCCTGAGCGAACCAGCTCCTCCAACTCCCTCCCCAGTGCCGTTCTCCCCAGCTAAATCGGCCACCTCAGTGGAAGTGCCCTCTGCCCCATCACCTGTCAGCAACCAGTCCCCAGAGTACGGCGGCATAGCAGCTACAACAGGTAGGCAGGTTTGTGGCAGCTGGATCTGCTTGAAGATGGCTTTTGCATTCCGTCACCTGAACTGGAACTTGAGCACACTATGTGCCTGTTTTTGAGAGATGCTAAGCCTTCTCAAACAGAAATCTGTTTAAACTATTGGTTATACTTTCTTATATCTGAACATTGTGTGCAGTTTAACAGGAAATGGATCTGATGCTTGGAGTCTGCAGCCCTACCAGGAGTCCTCAGATCAGAATCTATTCTGTTGCTGAGGCCTTCAAGAGAACAGGCCTGTTGCTGTATTTCCAAATGGTTTTTAAATCAGTTAAATTTATCATATTTTTGGCAATGCCATGAAATCTTTTGTGAATACTTTTAAGCATGTTCAATGACATTAATGGGAATCAATCTCTATGATAAAGTGTTATATACCTCAAGGAAATATGCAAGTTGTTTTAAGGCTTGCTGAGGCTTTCAACATCTTAATTAATAATTAATACCCACTGCATACCCAGTGGGAAAAATGAGAATTGGATATCTTTTGACATATTTGAGATTCAAACATGCTTAAATATCTGCACAAATTTCTCTTGGACATGTTTTTATACATTATTGGTAACTTTCAACATTAGAAATTAGGAATTGAAAGTCTGAAGCATGCTCCATTACTGTTTTCAGTTACATTCTCTGTTTTCAGAGCTCATGAGCTTGTTGTATTGTGGTGGGCCCACAGATTGAAAAATCAGTTCTTAAAGTTATTTAGTTTGTGGGTAGACTACCAGAAAACAGTAAAAAAAAAGTGGGACTCACCTGGGTTGTATAAATGGGCAACCGTCCTGTGTACCCTAACATAAAACTCAGTTGTTACCTGTTGGACATGGAGAAGATGGTCCATCTGTTGTATAATCTAAAGGCTGTGTTTTCTTAATTCATGAAAATCAGAAAGGGAGAAATGTGAATGACTTTCAGAAGACATTCCAGGCAGTAAAATACCAGCTTTGGTGCTCCTTGGTGCAATGGGTGTATAATCAGAATGTGGAAGCTATCACTTGTGATGTACTAGAAAACTTACAAAACCTTCTTGAAAGAATGTCAGAAAGTGATGATTTACCACACTGGAGAATTTGGCAGCGGCCAAATGAGTAATAAATCCTTTTGACAAATGTTTTCCTTGTTTTCAAAGGCACCATAGGGAAGCACAATGCATACTTGTGGTTAAAGGCAATTTAAGAACTTCTATCCCTACACTGAAACTTAAGGTTTTCTCATTGTTGGAGACTATACTGCATTTAGGAGGGAAATAGAATGATATCACCCCCAGAACAGTTAGACAATAAAGCAGTATGATTCCTAAACATGTTAGGTGAGCAGGTCTGCTTTGGATCAGGCAATGCTGGAGGTGGTGTTTATGTTTGAGTCTTGAAATGTCAATTTTGTGAGTAACTTGGTCTGTACACATAATGGTCCTATAAGAACATTGTGATATTGTATCCAGAAATTACAGGGATGCAGAACTCTACTTTAGAAGTAAAAGACTGAAAAGTTGGGAACCACGTGTTCTCCAGTGGCATAGACAGGAGTGGAAAGTTGAGGGACATTTTTGCTTAGGCTACAGAGACTGTAACTCTATATGGATATCTTAACTATTAACCCAAAGTTTATTCTATATTTAAACAATAGCCTATATGTCATCTGTATGAGCTTCCACCTTCTATGCCTTATGTAGCTTCAGATCCAGGCAGGCCTAGGAACTGCATGAATCTTACTTATCCCTCCTGAATTCCATCAGTAATCATAGAGTAGAACCATAGAATGGACTCACACAGACATTACAAATGTAATTCCTTTTTGTTTTCATGTTGCATCTTGTTTTTTTATAGTCTATTTTATTCTCTCTCTCTCTCTTTTGCTTGCCCTGGCAAGGCCAAGGTCTGCTGATGTGAAGTTTGAAGCCAGAAAAAGAATTACTTGGGTACAATGGTTGAAGGACTTACTGCCATAATACAGACAGTAGAACTTGATGCAATTATTCCCATAGCAGAACTTCTTAGGCTAGAAAGCTATTTATAATCATTTTAGCTCTGGGTGTTTTTTTTTTGTTGTTTTTTTTGTTTGTTTGTTTTTTGTTTTTTGTAGCTTCTTATTTTTCAGGTTGTCCAAAAAGCTTCAGTTGAATTGGATTTTATTCTTACAATCTTGTGCAGTCTAATTTTTGCTAGTGTGAAAGTCATTTTTGCCTAGAACAAGCCAAATTTGTCAATTCAAGCAGCCATCTGGTTAAGATTAAATACAAGTGTATGGATATTTCCCAGACCTAATTTGGACAATTAGCAATACCTTCATTTCCCATATGGATTATGTAGATGAACTGATCACCTTTTCAGTTTGCTAACCATTGCACAGTGGAATGCAGGATCCATTCACAAAAAGGTAATGCAGCCATGTTTCCACCATTGAAAATTGCTGTCATTTAAAATGGCAGTGCTGAAGATGTAATTCTAATATATATATATGTATTTAATAAAAATGCTACATACACAGATTTTTAGGAACTGGTATATAGAATATTTTGGGACAGGAAGCTCTGGTCTGGAGAAACATGTTTAAAGGACATTCTATTGATTTTCTTAAACGTCTTTCATGAGGTAAATATAAAACTCTGAAAATGCTTTGTATATGTTGAGAACTGGTCCCATTGGCTACCACTAGCTTTACTTCCCTAATTTAAAGTATCATTAACTTTTTTTTTTTTTTCTTGTGACATTAGCAATAAAAGTTAACTATTAAACTTGTATTTTAACCTTTTTTTGCCTCCACTCAATGGTCAGCACAAGAGACAGCAAATTAAACTTTGCCATTACATGGTACTAAGCAAAAGAAAGGTGAATTCTATATATAGCACTTTGTTTTAGAACATCTGGCCTGGCTTAGCTAGCATTTTATTTAAAACTTTGGGTTAAGTTACTAGACATTTAAAATGATCATTAGTCTCTATCCTTTCTAAATCACAAAGGCCAGATTAATGATTATTCAAACTGCAGCAATATTGTCATAAAAATGATAGCTATATGGCTGACTGTGCTATTCTCCCTCAAAACTCCTTTGAAAGCCATGATTACTCATTTGCTAATGCAATCTTATTTGGAAGCCTGAAATGAATTCTGAATTGTAGCTACTTTCTAACACATTAGTAAACTGATGTATGCAGTTTACCATTTAGTTTCATGAAATACATGTCTGAAATAAGTCTTCATGTTATCAATTGTCATTCTAGGTAACTGTTTTCCAGGTCTGGGCTAGATATTTATATTTGGGGATCCGCCCAAATTTCAGGAGATAACTTTCACAGAGCTATCAGCTCTCACATTTGTGTTTGAGTACAATGACACTGTGTTTCTGCAAAGTTCCAGCTCTTGAACTCAACCAAATATATGAGAACATCTAGAGTAAGAGTTTAATTCTAACAACTGCAATTTCAACAAGCAGTTCTCTCCTTCCCAATGGTTTTGTTGTTGTTGTTTTCTACATCAAGAATTCTTTGTTTTGTGGAGGCAGAATGGAGGTCTAACATGATTGTTGATTACTTGGGGTTGATGTCAGTGCTTGCTGTCAGATGTAATACACAGTGCAGTGAGTACCTTGCTTGTACCTGGGTGATCATTTACTTCAGCATACAGCAAATAGTAAAATGCAGCATAATAAAGCAACTTTTGGTTCTTTTGGCACTGGTATACATGAAGGCATCACTGACAACAGGCCGTAGTCAATGTTAGCAGTCCCATTTATACTTGATTCTCGCATATATCACGTAGCCTATTACTTAGTATCCTCAAAATCAAGTTTATTTTTAAAAGAAAAAAGAAAAAGATAATAATAAGTGAACTTCCATATTTTAATCAAACTCTGAATGTTCAGAACAAAAAGCAGAACAAAATGTTGCTCAACCACTATTGTTTTTCCTTATTTCAGAATGTGCTTCAGTTGGGTTCAGTTGTATCTAAAAGAGACTTCACCTCCTGGAGTTCAGTTCTGTGGCCAACTGAGGAAACCAACTGTATAGACCTGAGACATCGATAAGTGTTAGAAAGCTAACTAGGAAAATCTGTGACTACTCCCATTCCTTCTTATCTACTCACCATAATGTTGGCAGTTTTCTGATTGACCTCATATGTACCTATACACAAAATCTCAAAACCTGTTGCCATCTTCTGTCCTCTTCCTCTTTGTGACTAAGTCACTCTGAGAACAGTGTGGAAATAGTGAAGAAAAACTCAATTTTCCTTCTGAAGACAAAGAGAATCAAGACAACAGTAGATTTTCAACACTATCCTGAGAAGATTATTTAAGCAGCTTTCTGTTACTATGTAAAGCTCAGCATATATTCACTACTAATTCACAACCTCCAAAAGAAATTGAGTATTTGTGTTCAAGAGGCATCTGGATGAGGTGCTATGAGATATGGTTTAGTAGCTTAGTGGGTAGTAATGGAGATAGGAGGATGGTTGGAATAGATGATCTTGTAGGTCCTTTCCAACCTTGTGATTCTATGATTCTATTTCCTATAACAGCTGTGCTGATAGTACCTGGGACAAACTGTGGTTAGGATAATTTTATAGATATTCACAACTCTTCCAGTGCGAGACCTATTCCTTGTTTCTGTATTGTCTGGACAGGCACAATCTATGTTACACTCTAAACATTGAGTTTAGAATTGAACAGAGGTAGCTTCCAGTTGGACTTGAATGCCAAGAGCAGCCACATCCTTTCATCCAAGGAGCAGACTTCCCACAGGGAGTACAAGAAACAATTTGTCCTGAATTGACTCATTTTCCTCAGATTGAGATAAGATCATGAGAATTTTTCATAATGGCTGTGGCCAAACAAATTAAGTATACATGGTAGAATGTGGAGGATCTTTTGGCCATGTTACAGCTTCTTGTTATGGCTAGGAAGGTCATGAGTTCTTTGATGCAGAAGGCGATCTGAAGTAATAATTTTGTTTTGTGGTGAATTTAAAAAGTGAGGACAGAATGGTATTTTTACCTAAAAGTGAGTATTTGGTTTTCTTTTGATTATCTTTTTTTTTTTTTCCTTGTTTTCTTGCTTTTCTCTTTTTTTTTTTCTTTCCTTTTCCTGCGTGTGTTTGTTTTTTAATTTTGAGCTTAGTCCTGTTTTGAAACTATGTTTCAAATTTTATTTTGGACAATAACACTAGGAAAATATGTTGACCTTTTGAAACTGAAACATTTCACTAAAATTATCCATAGACAAGTTGTTGAAATTTTCAAATTAGTTTTTCTTTTGTTTTCAAATGAAACTATTTTGTGACTGTAGACATAGCTTTGACTGCTTCCTCTTAAGCTATATTTTCTAGTAAAGGCAGACTTCCTTAAACACTTTTCCTCAGCTCAAGGAACCATGACACTGATGTGCTAGCTCTGTTGAGTATGCCTCCTCTTTAGTCTCAAGGATCTCAATCGTACTTAATGGGGGGAGGTGAAAGTCTGAAAAGTCAAAAATCAGTGACAGACAATGCAGATGTGAAAATAGACCTAGCAAATATATCCTTGGCCGTAACACATACAAGGATGTCTCTTTTGTAACAGCCCCAGTTCACACCTTGCCTTATGAAGCACAGAATGTCTTTGGTCAGACTCAGAATTAAGTATTTTCCATTGCAAAAAATTATTTGTCTGATTTTGTTAAATAAAATCACATGCACCTGAAGAAAACTGCACACCTGAGATAGTTTTTTCATTCCCTAAAACCGTGGAGTGAACATGGACCTGGGTGATACATTTCCCTTTTGGAATTAGGCCCTTTCATACTACAGGAAGTTCCAGAATCCACAGTGAATAAACAAGTCACCTCCTGCAATTCTGTTTAGCTAGTGAAAAAGAGTCAAGAGTGCCTGGACACCCCAAACTAGTGTTCGGATTGGGTTAAATTCAGTGTTCTGGTCCTCATTTGCAGAGTAATCTCAGCCAGTATGGTCATGACCTCCAGCAAGAGCTGTGTTATACTGGAACAATGGATCACTCAGCCTCCCGAGTGAAAGGGGTGTGTGCAACAGACAAAGGTTTCTCAGCAGCTGGATCGTGAGTCTGGAGTTTTTGCCTGGAAGGGATCAGGATGATTAAAAAACTCAGCACCTTCCAAGCAAAATGGAAAATCCACTTCTTCGCTTTGGTCTTCCCACGTGAAAAAAAATAAATGTCAGTCCCTGTCAGAAGAAACATTACAGGAAGAAAATGGCTACGCTATATCTGTCCATATAATTTTTATAATTTGGAGATCTACCACTGTGTTTCTGCTACAAAGGCTGGTACCTAGTTAGATGGATTAGGAGAAAAACTGCAAAAGTGTTCATGAAGTTTTCTTGTGTAACACTCATCTTCTTCCAATCCTTCATTGTTCTAATTGTATGCTCTGTTTCTCTCCAGGCCTGATCAGATGTGAGCTAAACAGGCCAGCAGCTCATTGCATATGAGAGGGATCTCCAGGAGTTGTTGCATCATATTTACGAAATGCTAGCACCACTGTTCCTCTATTGCTAAGTCCTACCTGAGTTTTTCTGAGCTGATAGCCTCAAGTTATAACACCACCCTCAAAGTTCAGAGTTTGAAATGGTCCAGATATGTCTCTTACCTCTGGATATTTGTGCACTCCAGCTGATAATTTCTGCTTTTATTTATGCGTCAGACATGACTGTTTTGTTCACTTTGCTGGATGCTATTTCCAATATTGGTGCTTAATAGTTTACTTTCCAGTAGCTGTTTCAAAGTGTAACAACTCTATGAACTACAGCCTATCTTATCTGCCTTTCTCTAATGTTTGTTTGTCTGTAGGGGCTATGCAATCCTACACGTGGTCACTCACCTACACTGTGACAACAGCTGCTGGGTCTCCTGCTGAAAATTCCCAACAGCTGCCCTGCATGAGAAGTCCACACGTACCATCATCATCTGTCACACATCGGATACCTGTTTATCCCCACAGAGAAGAACATGGGTGAGTGTCTTGTTTGTTTTGTGTGGTTTTTGGATTAATCTAAGCTTATGGTTTTTTTTGAAAATGCAGTGAAATCTGTTTCTTGATGTAGTAAGTCCGTATTGCAAAGATTCTGGTATCATTAATCCTTTGCTGCTGTTTTTACTGTATGGTTATTAAGGATTGGATTTATCATCTTACTAAATCCTTATTAAACTTCAAAACTCAGTAGTCCTAGTGAATACTTGATAAAAGGGAAGGCTTTGGTAGCTTTCTTCCTGTCTCCGATTCCTTCTTTTGCATGCCATGTTTTATCTCAAAGGCTATACGTGTCCAAAGGACTAACCTCTCATACCATGTCTCAGAGATGATTCTCCTCTTCTGCTCAGCACATCTGAGACCACATCTGGAGCACTAGGTCCAGTTCTCAGCTCCCCTCTATTCTCATTCTCTATTCTCTGTTCTCTATTCCCCTCTGTTCTCATGATTCGGCCTCAAGAAGAAGAGGATCAGGGAGAGTCTTATAACTGTGTATAAACACCCAATGAAGGATGTAAAAGAAGACAGATACAGATTCTTCTCAGTGGTAGCCAGTGACAGGACAGGAGGCAATGGGCACAAACTGAAGTCGAAGAAATTCTGTTTAAACTTAACCAAAAACAAAAATACAACAAACGACTTGTTTCACTGCAAGTGTGATCAAACAGTAGAACAAGTCATATGAAGAGGCTAAGGAGTCTCCATCCTTGCTGATATTGAGAACTAACATGGGCACAGTCCTTGGCTGTGCAGACTTGTGCAGGGAGCATATACTACACAATCTCCAGGGGTCCCTTCTGATCTCAGTGATTAGATGATTCTATGACAGTTGTTAGGCCTGCAAATAAAACATTTCTGAAGTATAGAAATATAGACACATTTTCAACATAATATCCTAATCTCATCTCCATCACCAAAATTTGCTCATGGCACTCAATTAAAGTAGTTACAGCAGAAATTTCTTTAACGTTACTTGATCTTGGAAAACTTCAGAAAATCAGATAAAGTCTCAGCTCTTTTCACAACACTTCCGTGCCATCCTCACTTGAGTGAAAGTGTAACTCACAGATATCCATAACTAAAGATAAACAATCAGAAATTAATCAGTGGAAAAGGGCCTCAAGAATGCAGCAAGTTTAGCAAGAGCCCAGATGCTGACATAAAACAGGAAGTTCAAAAAATGTCACTGATTTTCTCAGTCTAATTGCATACTCACTATGTTTGCAGAAGTGCAGAAGTGTGGAAGATTGCATAGAGTTTGTAAGGATAGTAGTAGATTAATGTGGTGTTGTCTCCTTCCCTCATGGATGTGAGAAGATTTGGATTTATGTCTGAATATCACTGCTATACCCCTCCTGGAAATATCCTGGATATCGAGCAATGTGATTGCTTGGTGGAATTGGAAATAGAGTAGCAGGGAGGTTTGGGAACTAACAGGATACAAGAATTGGAAGAGACCATGGAACAGAAGTGAATATAGCTATAAATCCACATGAGAATTCGTTGTTACTAAAGGAATCTCTTGCCTCTGGAAGATGATTTGGGGAAACAGTTTTATCTGAGTGAATTATCTTTTCTGAAAGGTAACAAAGACATCTGTTACGTGACTTCTTTTGCCATTTGGTTTTATATGGGACGTGAGTGTAGAAAAAATTTGGTGATTGTAGTGGTATCAGAACATTTCAGTGCTATCTGCCTGCTCATCTGGAACCAAACTTGTAAGCATAGCAATAAAACCTCTTTGTCAATCAATGCTCATGTGGCATCTATCACAAAGGTTTCCTGGTGAATACTCTCTATATAGTAGTACTATGAAGTTTTTCCAAATCATTATGTGTAACTTATTTTGAATCTGCTGCAAAATCAGCATATTGATACATCAGTTTTTATGCTTCAAGTCTAATGCAACATGCTAGCAGAAACATGTTTCTGTATAAATGTCTGCACAGAAATCCATTAATGACCTCGCCCATGGTGTTTTGAAGCCCAAGACTCATTACAGTTCTTTTAAAAATACTGATTGAAAGAGAGCTTGTTTAAAGAAACATATCTTCAGAGAGGAGAAAAAAAAATAAGAATATGGGAGACCTTGTATGCAAGATTCAAACAGTTGGCTGCCCTGGAAAGAAGCAGAGAGAGATCAAAGTCTGCACTGAGATTTCAAGATTTCTGGAGAAGAGACAAATAGAGTGAACAGCTGTTCACTCAAAGGCTGAGCCTCACACCCATGCGGAGAGGCAGGCAGAGAGCATAAGCTGACCATTTCCCTGTTGCAAGTGAATTTCACAGAAAATGCAGATTCTTAGCCACCCAGCATACCTGAGAGCATTCTAATAGCCATTCCGTTGGGGTTACTTCCACTTCTGCACACTAAAGATCATCTCCTTTGTGAAATAAAAAGCCTCCAGAGCATCTTGAGATAGAAAGAGAACACCTAAAAGATCAGAGCAATCCATACAGAGGTATTCCTCAAAGTGAAGATGTTTTAAGGACTTGGAACAATGTAAAGCCCTCCTACCTCCCAAGAAAGATAAATATAGACTGCTGAACTGATTTATACAAATATTTTTTTTCTGTATTTTTGGCTGGTTATAGAGGATATAAAATAAATTCAATGATCAAAACTTCTCCCGGAAAATAAATGCAAATAATTAATGCTAACTGCATATTAACAGCCAAGAAGAAAGGGCTAAATGATCTCTTCTCCTTTATTTAATTAAAAAAAAAAAAAAAAATCTTACAGCAAGCAATACTAGTGTAGATTTGTGGAACTGAAGGAAAGCACAATTTTCATAACCACTCTAACTCACTCCAGTAAATCTTCAGTGGTATTCTCCACATGTATATGATATCTGGACAGTAAACAGATTTATAGTATTAATAGAAAAAAAAAATCTTCATACCTAGTTGGAATGTTCCTTGTTCTGCTTTATGTCCATTGCTTCTCACCCCATCACTGTACACCTTCTAGATGAGTCTGGCTCAATCTGCACTATACCCTCCTGATAGATAGTTGAAGATCATTCCTTTACCTCTCTTTTTAAGACTGGGTACACCAAGTTCTCTTCTTGTAAATTATGTGCTCCAGTCCCCTATCTGTCTTGATGGCCTCCACTAGTCTCACTTCAATGTGTCAATGTCCTTTTCATAGTTGAGAAACTAAAACAGGGCTCAGTACTTCAGATGAGGTTACTTAAGTGCTAAATACAAGGGAATAATCATTTTTAGGCCTGCTGTCTATGCTCCTGCTAATACAGTAAGGTAGTTTGTTGGTCCTCTTCATTGCCACGGCACGGTGGTGATTCATGTTCAACTTTTTGGCTACCAGAACTTGCAGGCAATTTTCAGTAAAGCCAATTTCTTTCCAAATGGTCCCAACCTATACCACTGCAGGAGTATTACATGACATTCCAGTATTCCCTCTGTTGTACAAATGATCAACTGAATATTTTTTAATGGATCATATTCGTATCTGCTAAACTCTAGAGTTGCTGCCACTTTCTATCTGGACTTCCCCTAAGACACCCCATCTGTGTAATGTCTCCATTACTTAGTGACTGTTGGTGAAGTTCAGCAGTGACTGTACGAGATGGTACTTGGCAGAATTTTTTTTATTATCAATTTCCAGGCACACTTTCTTCTGAGAGAGACGTAGGGTTTCTTAGCCATGCACTTTCAGATAGGCAAGAAAATACCACTCTTGAAGGACTATATTAATCTCCTTCTCACATCCTTCAGCACTCTCTTCTGAAGTTGAATAGAGAAAGAAAAAGATTCCTAAACCAAAAATAGAGGATAGCAATTAAGATAAGAAACATTATCACTCCAAATTCAAGTGAATTAAAGTGTGTATTTTAGAAAAAAAAAAAAACAACAGTGAGTTTTGAATGAAGAAGACAAGGTCAGTATCTTCCAGACTTGGATTTAGATGGGAATCCAGGAGCCCTCTAGACTATAGGAGAGACCAGCTGGATGAATCTCCTCTTGAACCAGAGAAAGCTGCACTGTGAAATGTCAGGCTTATGAGACTGCCAAAAATATCTGTTGTGGATTTTGTTTCCCAGTCAATTGTGTTGAAGGAATTAACACAAGATGTCTGCCTACTGTTATGTGGAACAGCTTCATGACACAGTCATTTCTCTCTGCCCCAACTCTCCACAGAGAGCCTATCAAAATCCTACCTTATGAACATCAGCTTGTCTGAGGTAGATTATGGAAACCACTCTTGTTTACAGCTAAACACAAGTGAATATAAGAGTAAGAGCTAAATATTCAAGTGAATATAGACATGGGAGCTTATGTCTAGAAAATATTTTTAGAGAGGGTACTCAGCTCTCATTATGAAGCCTTACCAGGTTTGCCTGCTCTAAAACTTGACATGGTACCTGCAGAACACCATTATAAAATCAAAAGAATAACAAAAGTGTTTAAACTTTACCCAGTGTAACAATGACATCAAACTTTACAGAAAAAAAAAAAAGCTAAAATCCATACAAATGACTTTCTTCTATCTCCCACGACGACTTGGCTGCCCTTTTTGTTGTTGTTTATTGCCATTTCATTTTGATCTAGCATATATTTTAAGGGCCTTTAAACTTCTGTGCTGAATTTGTATCAGATGTTCACATGGCTACACAAGGATGCAGAGGATGCAGAAAATGTAAATTCATCTTCTGCTAATGAATGATGCCCACAATGGTGATCTACAAGCACTGACCTTGCAGTTTCTTATAGCTGAGTAAAGTGCTCTCTCCTTTACCCTGGGCTGTTCCAAGACAAGTATTTGAAATGATAAAAGAAAGTGGGCAGGTTCTCCAACCTCAAATGCCATCCTGTCCTCTTGACAGCTGCACTAAAGCTGTTTGTTGTATGCTTCAGATGCAAATGACCCCCCCCAAAAAAAGGAACTTGTGACTGCAGTGCAAAGAGATGGCTGAACTCCACAGTGCAGTTCCTTAAGTCAAATACTACCACACTAGCTCAGCCTAGCAATTTACTAGAAACATGGCAGTGGGATAATAATAAAAGGGAGAAAGTGCATAAATGATCCTGCAGCATATAAATTGTTACAGAAACATCCTGAGTCTCTCAATTTGTTGTTGTGTTGAACACCTTGCTAAGTGGCAGCTGCTTTCCAGCTGATCTCAGAAATACACACACACACATAAATATATAAAGGTTATTTTAGAAATCATTCTACAATGCAAAAAAGTGCTACTGTGTGTCACAGGGAAGTTAAAGAATTATTAGTGGGAATACCAGGATTATGCCTACTAAATAGTGTTTTTAATTGAATTTTAGATACACAGGAAGTTACAACTACGGTAGCTATAGCAATCAGCACCCCCATCCAATGCAGAGTCAATATCCATCTTTACCACATGATACTGCCATTTCTGGACCACTTCATTACTCTGCTTACCACAGAAGCTCTTCACAGGTAAGTTGGAATAATTTCTTGAAAATGCTTGCTACAACATTTTAAATAAAGTTGTACTTGTAAATTTCTTATCAGCATACAAGCTCTTTGAATTATTTCTAGCCATTGATAATCACTTTTTTTTTCTTTCTTTTCTTGGCATCTTTTCATTCTGGTGGAGATTCTTTTATCAGAAATAACTTTGACTTATGAACTTGGAGTACTAAACTCCAAAATCAAGCAGTCTGGATCATATGAAGTGCTTATGTGTTAAGGAATATCCGAAACCAATAGTTAATATAATTAATTGTTTCTTAGGCATTGTGAACAGGAAGTGATTCCTAACAATAAAATTGTTTTAATACAATTGAAAGAAGATGCAGAGACCATAGTGAATTCTTCTGGTGTCTCTGCTCTTGAGAATAAATATGGTTAGGAGTTTGCAAAAAACTGTGAGTTCTGTATATAGTTTGAATAACATTGGGCACCATTCCAAAGAGTTTCTATTTAATGTGTATGCTTTGGTCTCCTACCATAAGCTAAGGAATTAAGTCAGTAATTATTTCAGTTCACAAAACAGCCAGTGGGAAACAGCATATATTAAGCATGAAGATGATATTTGGCAGCAGTTTAAAAGTAGTGCCACTATAGGAAGGCTTTAGTGTACTATGCAACTGGTGTACAGGTCTGTCCTCTGTTGGAAGATCTACAGAGTGCAACTACAAGCAGGAGGTGATGTCTTTGGGGTATTCCACACACATAGAGCCTTTTATGCTTCATCTGCTAGAAATTTATGTAAGTCTAGTAGGGACCACCATGTTTAACTACAGTCACAGACCAGTTGCAAATATATGAATTTGGCAGAGCTTTGGACTGAGATGCACTCTCATAGCAGGATAAGGTTAACAGAACCCTAAAAATGTGCTCATTCTTTGTTGAAAGATATAAACTGAAAAAAAACTTCCAAAGAATCTTAAACAATCTTACTTTTTTTAACTAAATGAGCTTCTTTAAAATGCTTTCCCTGGTAATAAATGCTTTCTTAGTTACTTTTAGCTAGAAGCATATAAATGAAAAGTGTTGTTGCCCACAAAGCCTAAAAGGGTGTTATGGAACTACATTTCTTCTAGTGGACTTTCTAAGTAGAACCTAGGACTCATGATTTTGCAAAATCAAAATACAACAGGAATCCACATTTGCAGTGTATATGTAAACAGCTGCCACTGCACTGAAACCCAAAGAGATGAAATGTGTATTGCTGTGCTAATATATTCAGTCTAGAAGCGGAGGCATTGACCAACTCTCTTCAAAAGAATTCTTTGTTATAATTTACATTCAGTTCAAATATAGAACTCTGTCTCAGCTCTAACCCTTTAGGATAGTGTCAACAGATTAATTCCCAAGAAAAAATCTGTGTGGGGGGTAAGTTCTCTGCAAACATGGAATCAGAGAGAGCCCTTGTCCTAGACAAGGCTCTGAGTTGAAACAGACAAGATGTAATAGAGGTGGCTTTTAGGCTGCAGCTATAAATTACTTCTTTGGTTTGGAAGAACACCATGTCTATCCAACCTCTTTCAGTGGAAGAGTGCAATGTAATCCAGGTTTTATCAGGTCACATATTTTAGGGCTATTTTCCAGCCCAAAGCAATATTCGTAAAGAAAGAGTTGTGTTTGACTTCATTTGTTTGTCCTTTCATATAACTTTAAGATGGAATCATTTCACATACAAGATTTACAGACAACCACCAAAACAAATGGAATTAGAGCAAATGAGATGGAGGGAATAGCTTTATTTTCATGGAGTGGGGAGTACTGAACATCAGGGAGGGGAGAAGAGAGTGAGTGACCCTTTAAACTGGAATTGTCAACATGTAGCATATTAATCTTAGCTTCACACACAGAGTTACATGATAGTTGCATTGTGTAAATTTCAGGATACCGCTATGGTTTTGTCAGTGGAATCCTTACAGTGGGGCTCTGCTGGGGAAGAAGTCAGACAGCTGTAAGTCTTGTACTACATACAGCTCTTGGAGAGTATAGGTGGCAGTCCCAAGACAAGCCTATCCTACCTGAAAAGCATTTGGCCCATGTTAGTGAGAGACTCCTGGATAATTTGAATCCACTAGTGTTGAAGGAAATGAAACAGTAGTATTTAATAAAGCTGATACAGCTGAGGCACTGTGCATCGCCCCCTCCCACAACTGACTGGTGAAAGCTCATGAGGATATTGTTATCTCTCAACTCTGAAACAGTCCTAGTGCTTACCTTGGCTCACAGAGCAATGTGATGTGTCCTTAAGATAAATGCAGGTTTTATTAAGTAGCTCTCAGACAGATCAATGACTCTCAGGTGGACAAGCAAGCAAAACAGTGGAGATGACCTGTATAAAAACATTAGAGGGAAATAAATGTTCTGATGTAGTAATTTCTGCAGCTACCAACCCAGCAGGAACCTAAAAATGGCTCCTTCTGGCAACGCAGGCTGACTAATTCCCACTGCTGGCTAAGAGTCTTTTTGTTGACAGGGACAGTCTGTTCAAACCTTGGTCTTAATCCGAATATATTTTTTTCTTTCCTCAGCATCTGTGATTAGTTCTCGGAACAGTTGTTTCCTTGTAACTCCAGGCCTGATTGCTCATTTCTTGACTTGGCTTACTGGCCAAGAGCCAGGCACAGAAATAAAAAAAATGATCTACGAATTGATTTGGTACTACCTAGTCCTCTAAGCAACAGTGCTGAAGTGAATACAATCACATAATGTAAACTCCATCATTATTTAGGAGGCTGTGTAATGTGTGTACATAAACAGAACTATACTGACCTTATGTTTTGTTCAGTTCACTCGCCTCGAATTTTAGGTGAACTAGATACCAGGGTAGAAAAATAGATGAGTTTGTCTAAAAGCTTCTCAGTGTTCCTATGAACCTCTGTCAAGTGTGGCAGAGAGGTACCCGCTTCAGAGGTAACCCTTCACAATGCCACCATCTAATCCGCTTCCACAATCTGCATTTGGATGGCTTTTGATCACAGCTTTTGTCTGCAGATTTCACCCTGACTGAACAGGATTTGATCCTTTCAAGCTATGCGTAAATATTGCAATTCATATAATTCCACCTCTTCCTTAGACATAAATTAATTAGCGCTGCAGTGATTTTTCTTTGTAATTCACAAGCATAACACTCTTAGTAGGAAAAGTAAGGAATGGGGGAAATCTGCAGCAGGATGTTTTTATATTTTAATATATCTGGTAACATGTAAAGATGCCTGTCATCTGAATGTGTATCACTGTAAATGCAGTGCAGTATACAGCAAAAAACACAGTATCTATGTTAGTACCCTAATGCATGGCTATTGTAAATCATATTGTAGATCCATTTATCCAGGTCCTATATCCAGCTATGTCCAGAAGCAAATGTGTAGAGGAAAATGATTAGTGAAAGGATAGGTAGAGAGTGGTCCTTTTACCAGCATAGCCACACTGTGCTTGGTAAGAGCTGACTTAGGGATGTCCTGAGCAGGAAGTGGCAGCTGGACTGTTGTATTTTCTAGCAACTTATTCTACATTAAACTCTTTGAGCTTTTTTTTTTTGTACTTAGAGACTCTTAACAATGGGCTGTACAAAGCATGTAATCTGCTATTAATTTTAAACCTGCTATCTCAGAATTGCATTAGATTGCCTATATTTTGGGGAATGATGAGAAATAGGCAATACTCATTCTCTCTTTATTTACTCTTACAATTAGAGATGTTATAGTTCTTCATCATTCCTCCCACTTCTGTCCTCCATCTGTTTTCCAGACTTAGGAGTTATCAGCTGCATAGATTCTCCTTGGTGGATGCTCTGCATGTAGGAATTATACAAGGGCGGCATGTGGAGGGGGAAAAGGGAAAAGTTCTAGTCTATCCAGCACATAAACAGTATAAGCTTGTGACTATACCAGTGCAATTAGAATGATGAACCCTCCCCCACTAGACCATTCTGTCATCCGATACCAAGTAATGACAGAAAGAAAAAAAATCTGTCCAAATCCTACCCATGCAACAAGAATTATTGTTCCTAACTCTACAGTTTCATAACAGTCTTGAGATTATTAAAATGTAGTTGAAGTAATTATGTATTGAATACAACATGTTTAATTTTTAAATAATAACAAATGAGGATTTCATGAGGCTCCAAATTCCTCTCCCAAAAGTACCAGGGTCATTTAGAGTGTCTTGAAATCTTCACCCCACCTATTTGACACACTGAGATTTACTAAGCTTCATTTTGTGGAGCAAAGGATTGAATACAGGGTTATAAAGATCAAACTGATCAACAGATCCAATGCTGATATTTTTTATTAGATCTTCATAAAGTTAATTTATAGCCAGCCCTTCACAATAGCTATCATTCCTGGTATGAGTTATTTGCAAATCTTAAAGTAATGGCTGACACAGAACACTAACTTACAGCATTCTGCAAAAACGTGAGCAAATGCACTGTAAAGTCAGAGCCACATTCATAAGGAAAATATTTTGCTGTTTGGACAGAGACACCTTTCACCTCTATGCATAATCAGTCAGTGAGCTGAGGATATGAATAAGGAGATTATTCTCGATCCCCACACTTTAGGAATTTAATCTTCACTTCTTGGTAGGACATATTTAACGTAGTATTTTCTAAAATAATAATAAAAGACATTGAATTAATTTTTCATTCTTCGGCAAGGCCTTAACAATAATCTTCTTAAAGCGTCCCAGACTTAAATGGCTTCTTGTCTAGGTCTGAGGCAGCAGTTGCAGCAAGTGTGAGTTAGCCCAGAAAATGGTAATTTCCTGTCAAGAGCCCTCCAACAAATGTCGCTTTTATATCTGGCAAAGATCACTAGGCCCCAGTGTTTTGAGTTCAGCATGCTTAAGCACTCTTCATTAAACCGGATGTAGAGTGTGAAAGGTGATTCAGGCAGCATGGGCAGGCATCCGCCCAGATGGCGATGCTTTGGACACTCCAACAAGGCTGAATAGATGCTTCATTGGGTGAGTTAATAGTCAGGCAGGGGCCAATGAGTACTTTAAAAATATTGTCTTTCAATAGTCTCTTCACTGTAGGGAAAAAGAAGTCACTGACTCATTTGCGATTAGCTGACCTACCATTACAAAACTTTCCGTCTTGCATTCAGTCATAACAGAATTTATTGTAAAATACTAGATATTTAGAGTCCATGTTATTTTCAAGCAATTATTCCTTTTACATTCGTGACACATTCATAAACACAGCTGCATCGGGTGAGCCTGATGAGGGGGAAAAGCGGAGCACTGTATCCTGTCCCCTTATGCACAGCCATTAGCTCTGCCTTCTAGAAGCCTCAGCATGGTCTCTTGACTGCAAATAGGAAGGGGATTATCTTTCTTTTCAGTGCATCCTGAAGTTCATTCTGGGAGCCAAGGTTTCAATCCCAAAACAGCACAGTTGTGTATACAAACTACCTAGAAGACATTAGGTTGCTTCCACACACAAAGTCATGTACAACTAGGAGATCCAGCACATCCCCACCATTCATTTTGTTTGTTTTGCAGATATATTGAAGTTTCACAGTCTACAAATATAAGCAAATACAAGCCCCAGTAAATATAAGCAGTAAATGTAAGCCCCAGCTGAATCTGGGGCATGTTTAAGGGGATATGAAAGCAAGTAATTCCTCTGTTCCGAAAGCCACAACATCAAGGGAAAATTGCACCAAGTCAGGAGAGCAAAGCATTCTCTTATGGTTAACAGAGCAAATCAGTCATTGCATTGGGGAGAGATGAGAGAACCATTTAAGTACTGTGGAATAAGTATAGATTAATCTCTTTCTAAATATACTACTCATTCAGTGATTTGGGGTATAGATCCATGGGTAAGAAAAGCAAAGATCAGTGCAATTGTTTTCAAGTAAAACACTACTGAAGTCAAAGCAGCATGCTTCTAGTTTGGCCCACATCTTGCAACTCCACAGATGACATTCAGAAAAGAATAAATGTATTATTTTGTATGGTGTGTTTTGTTGTGTTTTTTTTTGTTGTTGTTGTTCCTCCTCCCCCCCCCAGTAATAGATCCTGGTCTTGGCTCCTACCATCTACCATCTCAAAACACTTTGTACACAGCTGAACATTTCCCAGCATATGAGATCTGCCAGGAAGAACAGCAGATGGAGTCAACAGTTGTGAAAAAGGGACTTCTATTTAGCACAGGTCAACCTCATACGCCAATATAACCTAATAACTAATTGGCTGCAGGAGGAAGGAAAGAGCCATCTTCTAAGGATCACCCCTGTTGTTCTCAATATTCTCAATATTAGGCTTCACAAATCAAGGTTTGATCAACTCTCCTGGAGGCTGCAGACAGAACACAGATGACTCACTGTTATTAGATGCCTGACTTTTTGACAGCTAAAGTTAGGTGAGACAAATTGGACTCTGAAGCTGTAGGAAATCACGTGACAAGTTGCTCTCTGAATGTGTTATGGCAGAAGTTTTGCTCATCAAGATGTTCAGATGAAGGTGGTCAGCAGGCACAAGCGTGACAATGACTTCAACATATTGCCTGTTCATGTCTGCATTCTAAATCCATCAACTATTCTTCCAGGAGATAAACTATGAAAATTATTCAACTTTTTCTGGACCCTTTTATGTTTACTCAGAATATTTGCAGGTTGATTGTTTCTTGACAGTGTCCTGTCTTTATCATATTGAGTTAAAAAGAGAACCATGATTCTAAATTCAAATCTCCTTATGTAAAACCACAAAGCTTGTGTTTCATTATTGCTGAATACTGGCAAGTCTTATCTTGTGCAGAAGGTTCTAAAACCTCAAGAAGTCTGAAAACTGATTCTTCTGGAAGGGACTAGAAAGCTTTCTGCAGTCAGTGCCTAAGATCTGTCAAATTTTTCTACTGAAAAGCCTCTCAGTGGGTTGAAGATGGAAATTCAGATGATCTGGTACGGACATGTTGACAGCGTTGGCAATACAGCTTATTCTGATAGCTGTATTAGCAGTCCTAGTTGTAGTTTTAACATTCCAGTATGGTGCTGCCATTTACTAGCCTCTAGCTGATTGCACAGGTGATGTGCTGTATATGCTAAATAATGCATACAACTTTGATTTCTTCCCTCTCATCTGCTAACTGGTCTGTCTCTGCAGGACACAGTGGAATATGCTAAATGGCAAACTGCAGTATATTGGTCAAAAATAGTCTTCTCTTTCTCCTGCTTAATTAGGAGTGGCCAGCATGTGGCTTTTGAGCTGTTCAAATACGTTTGCCAAGGCAGGGCTGCTTTCTTGGCTGTGGTCTGAAGGGAGTCAGCAGAAACTCCTCATGGAGACATTTCTGTAATTGCCTCAGGGACCCACACATGCAACTGATTAATGCCACCCGCATCCGGCAGTGGAGTAATGTAATGAGGCCCCTTGGGAATCACTGCCATCTTCCTCTGTTGAACAACTCCAGCAGCTCTTCCCACAGCCACCCAAAATATGGGGAAGTAGTTTTACAGTTCCCAGCTGTACGAAGCTTTAGCATGTATTTTGCAAGTTTTCTAAGAGTCAGATGCAGGAGAGGTGGCAGTCCTACTCTGCTGACAGCGTAATAAGGAAATGTCGCAGTTTCAAACAATCCAATATAATGAAACTTAAAATTACAACACTTTCTGTCTAAAAGGCCCTGTGTATGTGGATCCATTCACCCCAGTTCTGCCACGCTTACTGTGTCCATCTGGGGCATCCAGAAACCATCTTGCCTAGCAGGTGTAAAAAGTAGATGTGAAGATACACAGATGGTCAAAGGGAACAGGGATACTCACCATCTCTGCAGTGCAGATGGATAATATGAGGGTAAAGCAGGGAAAGCTATTTCTTAAGCAGAGCACACAGATGATTCACTCTTTTAAGACAGGCAATAAATAAACAGACATTAAGCAAACACTTACAAGCACAGTTTTCTTCCTCTTGATTGGGCAGTCTGTGACTACAGAGAGCAAATGCTGTTCTCTGTTTTCTTGCTTATCCTTATCCTCAGCACATCTTCTCCTTAGTGGGAGGCATTTGTCAAACTTCTTTGGTTTCTAGTTTCCAACTGTCACTGTGAACAGCTGGGAAATAGAGAGATTCTTCTTCTGCGTGTCTCTTTTTGTAAGTTCTCCAATTAGCTGCCCGCTCTGAGGCCAGACCACAGTATTCTTCTCCAGAAACTGGCAGGGTGGCTTGCAAACATTTGAAAGGGAAGGCACCTTTCCAGTAATAAAGATACTTCTGCTCTCCTCCCTCAAAAGCTATTTGAATGACAATTAATGCTGGTTTTTTATTTTGTCTTGTTTTGTTTTTACTGAATAGCAACTTTCTCAGTTATGAGGAAAATACTAGACAAATTCAGTTTATTTCTCTGCTGCCAGACATACCTGCCAGTAGCTAGCTCTTCAATATTTAAACCATAGAATCATTGAATGGTTAGGCTTGGAAGGGACCTTTGAGACCGTGTAGTTCCAACCTCCCTGCTATAGGCAGGGACACCTCCCTCTGGACCAGATTGCTCAAAGCTCCATCCAGCCTGGCCCTGAATACTTCCAGGGAGGGGGAAATGTTGTGACTCCTTTGCAAGACTTTGGTTTGACTTCGGGCACTTGTTATATGATATTCTACTTTCAGTATCATGAAGGTTTCGGAGGGCTGCTCAATCATACCATTTTGTTTATGCTAAACAAGGATATGTGATACCACCAGCCCTTACTTTAAAATTAAGTACGTGATAAATAATTCTTCACTTTTCTCCTTTGTTGTAGTACCCTTTCAACAGCCCGACATCAAGAATGGAGCCCTGTTTGATGAGCAGTACTCCAAGGCTGCATCCCACACCAGTGACTCCTCGCTGGCCGGAGGTGCCGGCTGCAAACTCCTGCTACACGAGCCCCCCCATGCACTCCACCAGATACGGCAATTCCAGTGACATGTACACCCCTCTGACTACACGCAGAAATTCTGAATATGAGCACATGCAACACTTTCCCGGCTTCGCCTACATCAATGGGGAAGCCACCACAGGCTGGGCTAAATGAAAATGACTGGTGTCAGTGAAGCCCGTATACTTAAAAGAGTTATACAAACTTGATATTATGTGGGAATTTACGTGGACGTTCCTGAAGGGTGGTGAAGATGGAAAAGATCCTGGGAAGATAAATGTAGTTCATAACGTGGGCAGATTGCAGACCAGTGTGACTGAATGTTCCTGTAGCCGAAAAGCATTTCTGTGCTATTTTAGACATCTTTTTAGGCCAATCTGTGCCTTTTCTAATTCCGGCATGTGGGCCAACCCTGTGTGATGTCGATGTCAGTGAGCCATTCCCCCCCCTCTTATTGACAAACATTAACGAGTCTTACAAAGTACTGGAACAGAATATATTTATGATTTGTGTTAAAGACAGGAAATTCACTCTCAGCAGAACTCTGACATCTGTTCTTCTTTTAAGCTTTCAGTGCATTCCTTAAAAACAATTCTGCCAAGTCATCATTTGTTTGCATCACTTCTTCTACCTGGCTCCTTAAAAGACATGTGTTGTGTAGATTTCAGTTTACAACCTAACTTTGTGTATTGATGCACCTTTCTGTTGATCCAGTAACTTTACAAAAGAGAAGAAAACACATGTAGCATTGAATTATACACTGCCTTAATTTGACTATTATTGTATATGTATTTGTGTTAAGTTTGCACAATCTGGAAAAAAAAATCTAACTTCTCTGGTCAGTAATGACAACATTAAGAATGGACTTGGGGACTGGGAAGATATTGGATTCAGAGCCACATATGTTAAATGTGATGATATGAAGCAATTATGTAAAAAAGACAATGCAAACACAAATATTCATTTGATTACCTGTTGACAGATATGAAAATATTCCCTCAATTCCTTCATGTGGTGATAACTTCTACAAAAGCAAAATTCAAAGCTGTGCCTTTGAACTTATTCTGTACTGTGTATGTGTGGAAAAATGTATTGTATTTTGGGGAGAACTTTTCTTAGACATTTTCTGTCGGATTTGTAGCTATTTGTGAGTTTTTGTTAGATTTTATTAACATAGCTTTTTCTTCTGTATTATAAAATGCACCAAGCAACTGTGGTGGACTTATTACCCTATGGGTAAGAAATAAATAAATGGAGATATGACATCAGACATTTTAGCAATTGTTTTGTAAATAAAATCTTTGATAGCACTCAGTCTGATAATAACCACATTTATGCCTAAAATGGACATAAGTGTTTGTACAGTTGTGCAAGATATATGAGGGATTTTCATGCTCAAATAAAGTTCTTGAAATTGAATAGATACCATTTTAATTTACTTAATACAGAAGCTGCAACCCTTCAAAAAATCCTACGAGTGACAATGTATTTTTTTATCCAGCAAACGACTTGTGAACATGTATAACCAACTGCAAGTGAGCAGTCCTCCACCTGTGCTTCCAGCTACAGGCCACTCCATTCTGTTTGCCAGTTGATGACTTTATATTTTTTGGTTCATATCCTGTTACTGTTGCTCACCTAAGTCCGGATATCCACCCAAGCAGGTAAGATATGCTATTTTATTTTCTTTACTGTAATTTACAACAGACATGTTGCCACTGGAATACTGGAAATGGGAAATGTCATCTTCTTTAGATGAGCAAATAAAGTGGCAAAATGCTCAGATACTGTGTACTCAACCAGTGAGTAAGCTAGTGAGCTTTTGGGCTGTAAAGTAACTATGGGAATGAACTGGAAATCTTCAAGAATTGAGAGACAGTGGGTGGTCCAGGCCAGGTTTAGCAACTGTTCAGGCTCTTAAACATTCAGTCAAGGTCTTGGTAGGGTTGTCAGAAACATAGCAGGAGCCAATCTCCACCATTAGGTACCCGATGAAAATCTTGTTTCCTAGATGTCACAGACCTTTTGAAATTTTCCTCATGTAACCTGGTGTCATTACCATTATACATTCACTCTTCACTTTCATTAAGTGAGGGCAGGACAGAAGAGATTGTGTCTAGGATAACTCATCTGTTTAATCTCATTCAAGCTACCTTCAGACAAAACTGTCCACATATGAAGAAGGTAAGTCATGCTGGGAAGATTTAATAGCCTATCTTTAGCAGCTAGAGTTTTATTCTGCTTGAGACCAAAATCTTCCTTTACATTTTTTTATTGAAGGTGCTTACATCAAAGCACTGATTCTGGCCTATTAATTATTAACAAGCAAAGAAATAATTGGCTCATCAAGACTGTGAGAAATGAATATGGAAAAAGCAGTCACTAAAATGGAAAAATGCACTTTATCTTCCTAAATGAATTCCAAATCTCTGCATTGCTTCGTATCCAACAAACCCACGAGAATGCCTTCATTTTTTTCCTATCAATTGGAACACTCCATTAATCTCCAGTTACCTGAAGGAATGCTGATGATAGCCTTTCATGCTCTCGCCAAGGACTGGATGTATTGATGAGACCTTTGTGGGCAGGAGTTACCATGAACTCAAAAGTTGGAACTCAATTACCTTGCCTTGAAGAGCATTGGAGATTGTCAGGGAGGTTGTTCAGGAAGGAGGATGGATACTGAACATGTGTCAGTACCAGAAATAATGCAGGATTTGTGAGTGGAGAACTGTAACAACATGTGTGAAGTGCTGGGAAAGGGAATTCTGACCAACAGCAGCATCACAAAGTTCTGTAATCAAGAAAAACCCATAGAACTGTCCTTTTCACCATCAATCAGAGCTTGGATTTGCAAATCTTTTGCAAACGGACCCTTGCAGTCTTTCTTTAAAAAATATACGTATACGTTGGATGCCACAGGAGTCTGAACATATACTTTCAGCTACCTTTGAACAATCTCCTGAGGAGGGCTTTGAAATTTAAACTGGACATTCATGTGGAGCAATATATAGATCACCGAGCACAGCTCTGCAAAGGTCACCATCATCGTCTGTGTCAGCAGCTCTGCAAGGGAAAGTGGGCCCCCTTCTTGACCACTGCAGATCAGAGCCCATCATATTAATGTAAACCAACACAGCTTTCAGGTCACAGAGGTGTATACCAGGCTGTGAAATGTGGTGGCTCAAGAGAGGATGATAACCTCTGGGTTGAATAGTTGGTTATGGGCAGGAAATCTCTTAAATCATCCTAGTACAAATTGCCAAACCTCTTGAGTTGGATTCTGAAGACTGTTAATTAAGCCTTTCTCTTGACCATGGTAACTAAAACTGATGTTTCTTGCCTAGCCAAATATTTATGCGTAGAGAGAGTAAAAGTGCAAGGTACAGATTTTTCTTTAGTTGGCATACCACATGCCAAAATATTCAAACTTTTTATCTCTTTCTCCTGCTTTCTTCCTTTCTCTTTCTATTTTTCTCCTTTTCTTTTTCCTTTCTATCCTTTCCCTTCCCTTCTTTTCCCTTTCCTTCCTTTTACTTTCCCTCTCCTCTCTTCTCTTCCTTCCTTCTTCCCTTTCCTTTCCTTTCTTACTTCCTTCCTCTTTTTTGTTCTCTCTTTGTTTCTCTTTTTTTCTTTTCTTTTTTTCTTTGCTAGTTTTCTCTTCTCTCTCATTTTCTAACACATTCATGCATTATTTTCTTTTTTCATAGTCCAAAATCTATGAGAATATATTTGTCATAAATACAATATAAGATGTATTATAGCATAACTAACACATGTAACAGATCTGTATATTTATATAGCTATATACACACAAACATGTATGCGTGCATATAAAAATCCACTACAATTCTTCAAGATTTTTCATTACCAGATAGAAAAAAGACTCAGCGGGGGAAGAGCAGTGAGAACTCCATTCACAGGCATGAATCCTGTTTTTGTCAGGCTACCTCTTGCTGCTAAGGTCACTACCCTTTGACAAAAATGGCCTCTGACCTCCCCAGCCTCACAATTCTGTTGTGACTGACCCTGAAACCCATGAAATTCAGGGGCAGACATTGCTTTGGAAGGTTTAGATAAAGCTGACTAACATGGGAAGGGCTCGCGGTATGCACTCATCTGAAAAGGTCTGGCAGTTCTTTGGTAGAGGATGCAATTTATTCCATCCCCCCTCTTTCACTGAAATCCTAATCCTTCATATGCTGCCTAAAGTGGAAACCAAAATGCAGCAATGATGAATAACAATGTGCCTTTAAGGGTTCAGTAACAGTTTTTTAGCCTTTATTTTTTTAGTTTTGGGCTTTTTTTTTTTTTTTAATAAGTAAAAAGATTCCAATTGACCATGTACAAATGAAATGAATATTTTACTGTGCTGTGAAGTAAATCTAAGCAGGCTCATGCTTTGTAATAGAACAGTAAATCAAACAAGCAAAGGATTACTTTGACTAAGTTTCTTCCAGAAGCTGCATTAATATACACACAGTCTTGCTTCCCAAAAAAATGGATGCACACTTCAAAATGGATTTGAGCCACAAAGATGATCAGGGGACTGGAGCAACTCCCCTATGAAGACAGGCTGAGGGAGCTGGGCTTGTTCAGCCTGGAGAAAAGAAGGCTGCGGGGTGACCTCATTGCAGCCTTTCAGTACCTAAAGGGAGCCTACAAAGAGGAGGGGAATCAACCCTTTGAAAGGGTTGATAACTGCAGGGGAAATGGTTTTAAGTTGAGGGAGGGAAGATTTAGGTTGGATGTCAGGGGGAAATTCTTTACAGAGAGAGTGGTGAGGTGCTGGAACAGGCTGCCCAGAGAGGTTGTGGATGGCCCATCCCTAGAGGTGTTCAAGGCCAGATTGGATGGGGCCCTGGGCAGCCTGGTCTAGTATTAAATGGGGAGGTTGGTGGCCCTGCAAGTGGCCGGGGGGTTGGAGATTCATGATCCTGGAGGTCCCTTCCAACCCTGGCCATTCTGTGATTCTGTGGTTCTGTGATTTTGCTACTCCTTCAGTAGCAACTTCAATATATTACTTTCCTCTATCCAAACAGTGGATTTTGACAATAGGGCACTTTGAGAATGGAAATAAGCCCCATCTTCTTAATTGTAGCTTAAACCTGTAGTCTTGTAGAGCTCTGTAGAGATGTAGCCACCCTGTGCACAGACACTGCAGACTCTCACTCAGCGTGTGTTGTTGGCCCACTCTGCCCTCCCAGATCTCAAGAGCAAAACCCAACAGTGAGGAGACACTGGGATCTCAACCCCACACCTTCTGCTTTCTCACACCCACGTGAACACCCTGTAGAGAGTATATCAAACCCCCATGAGAGGACAGACAGGTGGTTTGGGGAAGGCAGTTGTGCTGTCTCACAGAAGGGACACGTGGGCCTTGTCCTCCAGCTCATGAGTTTTGTTTTGCTCTCAAATGTTATGAAGAAGCCCCATTTCAGGGACCAGACTGAGACTTTGCCCTGCAATGGCCCAGGGACACTCAGCCTGTGGGCTCAGACTGGCAGCAGGTGCCATTTTGCGCAGGGCAGGTGGGTAAAGGGGCCCTTCCACCTTCGTGCAGAGAGGCTGCCCTGCAGCCGTCATGCACCAGAGCAGCCACTGCTGGGTATGGAGCAGGTGCAGCAAAGGCACCATGAAATGCTCGTGTCTGAACACTAAGGACAGGCAGCTGCCCACACTGGTTCAGGTTGTTTGCTTTGTAGCACTAAAGGAGCAGACAGCACAGAAGCAGGCAGGATGAGGACAAGCCTAGCGAGGAGGCTACGTGTCAGACTGTGATTGTATCGCTGGATAACCGGGCGGCCTGCGGGTCTCCAACCCACACTCCATATCTCGCTCCGCCGGCCTTCTCGCTAGGCGCCGTCGGGGCTGCCCGCTGCGGACTACAATACCCATCATGCCGCGCGGCACAAAGCCCTCCGCGCACCGCAGCGCCGCCTCGCTTAGCATGCCGGGAGGCGTAGTCCTCTCCTGGGGGTCCGGGCGGGGCGAGAAAGAAAGGCAGCCAATAGGAGGGCGCTGAGGTGCGGGCGCCCACTCCTAGCGGCCAATAGCGTTCGGGCACCGCCTGCCAGTCAGGGCTGTTTCCACGGGGAGCGTCGCGTCGCGTCACATCGCGTAGCGTTACGTCACGTGGCGTCAGGGGGCGCGGGGCAGGAGGTCGGGCGCGGCGGCTGCCGGTGTCGGCGGCCATGGAGCTGGGCGCGGTGCTGGAGGCCGTGCAGGGGCACGGCGGAGCCGCCGAGGCAGCGGAGCGAGCCCTGCTGCGGTACAACGAGGAGGTAACGGGCTGAGGGCGGAGGAGAAAGGAACCGGGCGGTGCCCGCCGCCACGCCCAGAGCTCTGCCCGGCGGAGCCGCTGTCTCGCTCTGCTTTTCCGCCGTGCACGCAGCGCGGGGGCTGTCCTGCGGCCTGCCCGCATCGAGGGGCTGCGACCGGCACGCAGCCCTCGGCGGAGGCTCAGGGACAGCCGCGGAGTGCCTCTGCCCGGCGCCGCGCTCCCCCGGTCCGTTCCCGCTGCTGTGCGCGGACTGAGCCGCCCTCGGGCACGGCCGTGCCTGTCGGCCTCACAGCTGCCCGCTGCTGGCCCGGCCTTTGGCTCTGGGTGGGATCCGAACGCGGCCGTGTCCAGCTGGGCGTCTGCTGAAATTCAGGGCTTTGTTAGGAACGAAC